CCAAGATATTCAAATTCATACTCATCTATTCATGCCTCAATTAATATTCTTAAATTTCTAGTATGTCATATAATTGGTCTTGTCTTGTTACTAACCTTTTCCTTTCAACTATGTCAAGTTAGATTTGCAAATCCTCATAACATTGCTTTATGTTAGCTCATTTGCTATACCAACTTTGTAGTCCTTCATTCACAATTTCATCATTTGATATTGACATTACTTTATCAATGTCTCATACATTCTTTTTAACTTTTCACTCCTTCTTTTGTTGGCCTTTTAACAAAGCTTAATCTCTTGTCTCCTTTATTCCTTAGGATGTGACTTTAATTAACATGATGTTTGTCTTAACACTTCACAATAGTACTTATCCCATTATAGTCATCTCAAGAACATTCAATTTCTCTTTTGCTAACATGTCAATATATGGCAATAAGGAACTTTTCCATTCATTCACCTAAACATTCTTCAAAACGTTTAAACTCCAATTAAGAAATCCCAACATCAAAGTCAATAGACATAATTTGGGTTGCAAATTCATCAGCATGCCCTATTATTGCCAATCATTCTTTATTCTTAGTCATAAATCTCCTAAAAGCAAAATATCCTCAGCGCTGCCCAACGCCGCGACGCTGCACTTGCTGGTTTCAGCGTTGTGACGTTGGGGAGCCAGCGTTGCGACACTGCGGTTGCTGAATGTGAGGCAACTTCAGCGCTGCAGTGCTGAACAATCGATGCTGCGGCACTGTGGTTGCTAGAAATCGTTTTTCTAAGGAGTTTTTCCACCTTGCTCATCATGTGCACTAGGCCAAGTCAATATTTCCAAACTTATATTACCTTTTTAACACTTATCATCCTTTAACAATTCCCACCTTAAGACATTCTTTCCATATTTTGTAATAGATTCACAGTATATATAACTCTACATATCTAATTATTCACCATTTACAATATTCCATAATTGCTTGATCAACACCTTATGCTCACCTTACTATTAATTCCAATAATTCATCTTTCTATATTTCCATAATTACTCCGATTAACATATGTTGAGGCATTCTCAATCTTATGCC